TAATTTTAAAATAAATAAAAAATTAATACGTGGTATTTATAATTAAAATAAAAGTTAATTTTATTATTTTTAAGATAAAAAATTATTATTATTATATACTTATTGTAATTAAAATAAAAATCAATTTTATTATTTTTAAGATAAAAAATAATAATTACTATATACTTATTATTTTTTATTTTATATATTAAAAGTACATGATAAATAAATTTTATCATAAATTATAAGTTTATAATTTTATATAATATTATAAATAAAATTTAAATTAAAAATAATTATATAATAATAGATTATATTATAAATTAATAATAATATATTATATTATAATTAAAATTTTGTCTCTTCTTTTTAATTTTTTTATAATTAGATAAAAAAATTTATATTCTCTACCTTTTTTATTTTTTTAAACCCAAATATATTATTAATTAATATTTATGTTGAAAAAGAATAAAAATAAAATTATAAAAGAAAGAAATATAGTTTTTTTATTGTGAGTAAATCACACACTTGCCCCCTCGGGGTTTGGAGAGGACGCACTTATCTCACTAACGCTAAAAAAGGGACACATTTTCTTTTTATTTACAGTTCACCCCTCATCCGCTGTGTCTTCAGAAGGTTTTGTTCATATTTTTTTTTACTAAAAAAAACAGCCTGAAGCAACTGCCAGTTAGGCGGTCGTTATCCTTAAAATTGAAGCAACCAATTCTTACTTTGAGTACGTGGTGAGGAACGGTGGGTGGAGTGTTTCCGTTCCGACTCTGATGACTACTACTAATTACGCACCACCAATATATTAAAACTATTCCATTTTAGCATTTCCAACCCGGAGATCTGAATCTCTCCTCTTCCAGTTCCAGGCCAAGCAATTGGAAATGGAGAAGATTGCGCCGTGGCTGCTGGCGGTGGCTCTTCTCGCCCTTTCCGCTGTCACCCACGTCAGATCCACTCCCTCTGACCACCGATATAAAGCCAGAGATGAAGTTCCTCTCTACGCCAATAAAGTTGGGCCCTTCCATAATCCCAGGTTTGGAATTTATATCTCATTGTCTTGCAATGTGGATGATTTTTTTTTTTTTTTTTTTTTTGTGTGTTTGTCTTTCTTTGGTAGTAGTACTGCTTTGTGAATATTGTTCTATGTTCGATGCTTGTGTTTCTGCTTCTTTATTTGTTTTTTGAAGTTGATACTCTAGTCTGAGGCTTCTGGGAAGCTAGTTTGAAGCTAGATCCAGTAGGATCTGAGCTTATTCCAGACCCAATTTGTTGCTGCTGGATTAAAATGTATGTGGTTTTCTGCTGAAAAAAGGTGATTGCACCTTGTTAAAGTAATTCTAGTTGAAATCAATTCCTTCTTAGCTGCAACTCACGAGTTAGTGGTATTTGAAATTACTTTTCTTTTGATTTTTGGAAGGGAAAATGCATAAAGATGCATGATTTAGTTTGGCACTCCTGGCTGCTTGTTTTTGCCAGGTTGGACCCTGGGTTCTGTCCCATGTTTCTTCTTCCTTTTACTGTTCATTTTGATTCCTAGAACGTTAATAATTTTTTTTTTAAACTTGATTACCTGATTATTTTGGTTCAATATAGGAAATTTTGAAACTTTTTTTTGTTCTCGGCTAATTAATCCATCCCCCCCCCCCCTTTTTTTTTTGGGAACAGTGAGACATATCGCTATTTTGATTTCCCATTCTGCTCCTCAGGTTTGTCTCTGTCCACATTTTTCCTCATCTAAGTGTTAGCTATTTGCTTTGGGAATGAACTCTCACTAGGAGGATATTTGCTTCAGGTCCAGTGAAAGAGAAAAAGGAAGCTCTTGGTGAGTTGTTGAATGGAGATAGATTAGTCAGTGCTCCCTACAAACTTGACTTCTTGACCGACAAAAACTCTGAAATTGCTTGCAAAAAGAGGCTGACAAAGGAAGAAGTTGCTAAGTTCAGAGATGCAGTTTCAAAGGACTATTACTTTCAAATGTATTATGATGACCTGCCCATATGGGGTTTCTTAGGAAAAGTTGACAAGGAAGGCAGAGCTGATCCTAACGAGTACAAATACTACCTCTTTAAGCACCTCATATTTGAGATATCATACAATAAGGATCGTGTTATTGAAATTAGTGCACGATCTGATCCAACTGCTGTTGTAGACCTAACACATGATGAAGAAGTTGATGTGGACTTCATGTACACTGTTAAATGGAAGGAAACAGATACTTCCTTTGATAACAGAATGAAGAAGTACTCACAGTCTTCTTCACTACCACATCACTTGGAAATACATTGGTTCTCTATAATAAATTCATGTGTGACTGTTCTTCTCTTGACTGGTTTCCTTGCCACCATTCTCATGCGGGTCTTAAAAAATGATTTTGTTAAGTATGTATTATTTCTGGCTAATTGGTGAATTTATGAAATTTATTACTTGCTTTTATTTTCTGATACCCTGTAACTCTTGTATCCTTAATAGGTATGCACATGATGAGGAATCAGCAGATGACCAGGAGGAGACAGGGTGGAAGTACATTCATGGTGATGTATTCAGGTATCCGAAGCATAAAGCTTTGTTCTCAGCAGCACTTGGTTCTGGCACCCAGCTATTTACACTGTAAGTATCATTGAAATCAGTTTCTCAAAAAAGAGCTTATCTGACATGAAGTACAACCAAAAAAAAAAAAGAAGGAAGAAGAAGAAGAAAGCAAAGAGCATTTGCTAAATTTCACTTGTCCACTGTCCTGTTGTTGAGCAATCTGGTAATTCTGTTTATCTTTTTCATGTTTTTTCCAGTGCAATTTTCATTTTCATCCTTGCTTTGGTTGGTGTTTTTTATCCTTACAACCGGGGAGCTCTATTCACTGCACTGGTTGTCATATATGCACTTACTTCTGGCATTGCTGGCTATATCGCTGCCTCTTACTATTGTCAGCTGGAAGGAACAAACTGGGTACGTTACAAGGCTGTATTCCTATTATCTTCTGTATAATGCAACGGGAATCTACGTTTTTCTTATTGGCACTCCTAAAGGCTATTTAACAATCTATTTCCATCTTCTCTGCTGTCAGCTGAACCCTTATTCTAGAAAGGATCCAGGACTTCTGACTCAATAGCATTCTTATTATTTTATTTATTTAGCACCTGAACTCTAAAGATGCTACTTGAATATGATTATTTCCTGTGTCTTGACAGGTGAGAAACTTATTGTTGACTGGGAGTCTGTTCTGCGGACCTCTTTTTCTCACATTCTGCTTTCTAAATACCGTTGCAATTGCTTACAATGCCACTGCAGCCTTGCCATTTGGAACAATTATGGTGATTTTCCTTATATGGGCACTTGTAACATCTCCTTTGTTAGTACTGGGTGGAATTGCAGGGAAGAATAGTAAGGCTGAGTTTCAGGCTCCTTGTCGCACCGCTAAGTATCCTAGAGAGATCCCACCATTGCCTTGGTACAGGAAAACACTTCCTCAGATGGCCATGGCAGGGTTTCTGCCATTTAGTGCCATCTATATTGAACTGTACTACATATTTGCTAGTGTCTGGGGTCACAGGATCTACACCATATACAGCATCCTGTTTATAGTGTTCATCATTCTCTTGATTGTCACGGCTTTTATCACAGTGGCTTTAACTTATTTTCAACTGGCTGCTGAAGACCATGAGTGGTGGTGGAGGTATGTTTTCTTGGAGCTTACTCTTATACATGCATAACTCTTAGCATCAGATAAACCACTTTGTATTGTAGATCCTAACTAAGGCTTATGTGTGCTGACTGCTGACATCTATGATTTTGGTATATAATAGGTCCTTCCTATGTGGTGGATCAACTGGGTTGTTCATCTATGCCTACTGCCTGTATTATTACTATGCACGATCAGATATGTCCGGTTTTATGCAAACTTCATTTTTCTTTGGCTACATGGCTTGCATTTGCTATGGTTTCTTCCTAATGCTTGGAACAGTTGGTTTCCGTGCTGCTTTGTTCTTTGTCCGTCACATTTATCGCTCAATCAAGTGCGAGTAGGGAGTTGATCATTTCCGACTGTTTTTGACAGGTATTGCTTCTCAGTCTCATATAGGGTTCAACTAATTCTGGTATTTACCATATTTCATAACGAAACTCTCTCTTGTTTACCAAAGATGCAGATCAAGAAGAGTATATTGCAATGCTGGGATACTCATCTATGCATTTAGGATGACCAGATGCCTGGTGGCCTCAGCAGGGGACACTTAAAAGCTGGAAACTGCTAGGTTCTAGATTTTATTATGTGTTATATTTTTGCTGATTTGATTATGTTAGAGAGAAGTTGAAGGCATCCAAAAAATGTTTTGCTGTTATATTTACTTTGGATGCTCCTTTTTAACTTTCATTTTTTATTAATAATATCTTCGAAATTCCTTGGAATGGATCACCAAAGGTCGTTCCTACTTCCTTTTCCTCTTTTGGCTGTCCTTTACACCTCCCTTCTCTAAAACTGCTCAAACAACATAAGCCATTTATAGGAAGCAATTAACAGTTTAAATGCAGTTATAGTCTGACATTTAACAATGGATAATTAGTGTTTAAAACTACTATAAAAATAAGAAAAATAAAGTTTACAGAAATTATTTTATTTTATTGTTGGATTAAGGATACGAGAATAATTTTTATTTTTATCAATATTACTATTAAAAAAATAGAAATAAAGGAATTTTTTATAATAGAATAAATAATTAAAGTCAATAGATAATTATAAAGTTAGAATAAAAAAA